CTATTCTCCCTAAAAAAATATAATTAAGTATAATTTATTAACGGTTAACCGATGGTTAACAATTTATTAAAATTTGTAACCATAACTGTTTAACAACATGGTTAGCCGAAATCGTTTAACCAAATATAACGATTACGGATAACAATTACAGTTTAATTTGAATACCCCTGCTATATGGAATTTGGTTGTTTAGGAGGAATTATTGTTTTGGACTTTGTTATGCATCGTAATAGTTCTGGATTTTATCTTTCATCGTATTACCTGTGAGATTTATGATTTGATGCATTACAACATGACTTTGCAATTCAACACATTGATCTTCAACTCTCACTATTAGTGAGCTTTTGGTCCCATTGTTATTTAAACTCCAATCCCACAATTTGGAGAAATAATATGACTGTGTATTGGGAACTCCGACTATGAAGATTAACAAATGGATGGATAGTTATGGGCTTACTATTCTGTGTATGTATTCCGAAATGTCATTCTAGTCTAAATTAATACTTGACATCTCTAATAAATTATTGCATATAATATGATCTCTGATTAAATTATGCGAGTTGCATACTCTATAATTATTTTATGTAATTAAAGACCACGTTGAACTTTGTAGCTTTGATATTATAGCTTCTTTTTAATATAGAGAAGTATTGAATAATTAGATCCAGGTGGGATATGGCCAATGGATATACGTTATACTTTCTGTGATTGATTAATTTTTGCGGGGATATCTTACGATGCATTCGTATCCAAATAACGTGAATGCGTGGAATCAAATTTCGCGTATTCCACATTTTGAAGCAACATATTTGTCTCATACAGTACAGGGAAATAAATGGTCACAAAGGTCAAGTGTGTATTCACACCTCAAATCTGATTTAGACCCACCATTATGATATATCCGCTAACACTACACGATGGACCCATTCATGATTCCATGTAACAAAGCTTGGACGGCTAATGGTCAATGGCTAAATAAATATTCATCAATGGTAGTATGGTTTTGTTGTAACATTTTATCCATATCTAACAACAGATAAATTAACCAATTGCTATTGATTTTGTCACCATGTTGTCCTCTAACTTTCATAATTTTTACAGCCATACCTTAATTTTTGTGTATGATGATGAGGAAATTCCCTAAATTTCGGGTTTCTTGATTAAGGTATTGCAAAAATCTATGACGATTACACAAAATCTACTGCTAATTATGAACATTTCTTTTTCTGTAAAGAAAATTGTAAACGTTTTCGAAGAGTTAAAATTAAAAAAGTACCAGGGTTGAGACATATATAGGATTTTATATTAGGAGGAATAAATTTTTAAAATTTTGAAGTGGTGCAAACTTATAAAATTCTAAAGTGAAAATAAATTATCAATAGAAAATAGGTAAATTACGCGTTTAGTACTAAATTATCAGTTTTGGTCTATTTTAATATCTAAACTTTCAAATTTTTTCGAAACCATACCTACCGCTTAATTTTTGTTTCATTTTATTACTCCGTCGTTAAAAACTTAACGGATGTGTTCACTGGCTGCCGCCTCTACAGTAGTTGGTCGTCGCATCTGTGGGTTGATGAAACCCAAACTTTCCAACATGCACATTTTCAATCCCCTGAACGTGATTCCGACCTCCGTTTCATCATAAAATGCTTCAATCTCCCTAAATCAATGATGAATTCTTCGACTTCTTCATCCTCCGATCTCTGTCGTCAACTGTCCAATGGGCCTGAAACTGGACTATATTGCTTGACTCGTCATTCTCTCATGGTCCACGTTTTGGATTGGTTGTCCGTCCACCGAAGTTATGACCCATCAGTTAAGTTTTTAACGACGGGTACTAAAATGAAACAAAAACTAAATGTTAGGTATGGTTTTGAAAATTAATAGTTTAAATACTAAATACATAATTTATCTTAAAATATATATAGAACAAATCTAAAATATATAATAATTTAATATATTCTGACAGTCACTCTCTCAATCCATCCTTAATAGGGGCAATTACTCGATACAAATGAAAATGATAAAATTCTAATATAACTATTTTGAATTATGTAGGGTGAGTGATAAAAATAATAATTATTTGTATAACTAAGATAATTATAAATTAATTTATCTTTAGAAAATTTTCAATTATTGACAACATATATTTTATAAACTTAATCTAAAATTATTTTATTTAAATAATATTTTCTTTTAATAATTAATATGGTTTAATGAGTTTAGTGACAATTATTTAATTTGAAAAATCCAAATCGAAGCTAGAAATGAAAGCAGATGTCCCTATCAATCATGAGTACTAGTTGACTCATTTTCCGCGGCTTTTAAGCTTGTGGCATACACCTTTTCTAGCTTTGCTTGATTTTAGAAGCAACGCTGATTATAGCACCAAAATTATGTTAATAACCAAGTTTAAGCATCTATTTACTCCTTTATTAATTTGAGTACTATTATCATTCATTATTAACTCTTTAACTTTTATTTTAATAATATAATTATAAAGTAATATATATTTAAGATCTTTTTTTAATTATAGATAACACATACACATTATAAATGTAACTGTTCAAACAAATAATCTTTAGAACAAATAATATTTGTTTTTACCACTGAAGTCACTTAATCATTTTATTGACTCTTAACCTTTAATCAATAGTTGAATTGTTGTTTTTAATATAAATATGAATTAAAAGATTAAATTTTTAATATTGTTGATACAATAATATTATATATATATTAAATTTTTGTAACTTTAAATAATTTTTAGTTAACATGAAATATACACAAAATATAAACATAAAATATTAAATTTATTGTTATATAAATTTATAAAAATAGAATGTCAATATTTTTTAATTAATAAAATATAATCAAGACTTCGATAAAAAAAAATAAAACAGTCTTCATATATATCTTTTGGAAGATTTAATCAATTAAAAACAAACAGCTTTAGTCCAAATGGAATATATATTTTTATATAGGCTAAAGTATACAAAACAAAAAGTTCTCGATTATAGGATCCTATTTTGTTAAGTCTTTTGATTATTAAAAATTATAAAATGGTATCATGATTATATGACGTTATTTTGTTGAGTCTCCTTAGTATTAAAAGTTACAAATGGTCACCCGACTATTCATATGTTTCAAATTCGTCATTTTCATTAAAAAAATTGATAGTCATCTAAGTTGGACGTTAAAATGATGACTGATATAAGATAGAATCATATTTTAATAATGTCTACTAGCATCGCGTTGCTTTCAAGCATTGATTCGATGCATATTGTTTTAAGCATTAACTCAATGACATAATGTAAACAGAGAGTCAGTTCACAAATTACAGCTCAAACGATTATGAGATCAGATTTTATAGTATCTCAGTCAATAGGCTAACGTCCAATTCAAACAACCGCCAATTTTTAACATAAAAGGACAAGTTTGGAATATATGAATAATCGAGTGATCATTTTGTAACTTATAATAATCGGTGAACTTAACATTTAACAAAGCAGTAACCATTTTATAACTTTTAATAATCATGAGACTGAAAAAACTTTACCCTATAGTCAATGGATCATTTGTGTACATTATCCTTTTATATATTGAAATCTATGATAGTGAAGTAAAGCACACAAAAAAAAAGGTAAAAAAAAAGGTGGATTGGTTTGCCGTGTATGATAATGCAAATCATGGGCCCAAATCAATTCTCGTTGTCACGGGATACGTCTTAGGTCCTTCAATATATAAGGGGATGGCCCTTATTGACCATTGATTGGGGGAATTTCACATTATATTTTCACCATTCTTTCTTTATACAACAAGAATTATGCATACTCTAAATTACTCCTACATACATAACCCAATTTTTGTTAGATGCTATGAGTTGATCTAACTCTAGGTTTTTTTTTATTGCATCAACTATATTGTGATGATTTTATGACATTATTAGATAAGCACTATGGCAGACATGATATGCATGCTTTTAACAAGGTGTGAATGCAACATTGGTATTGCACTTTTTAAAAGTTTAAAGTAACCATAATTGATCCCTTTACACCTTATTACGTAATTTAACCTTTTCTCTTGTTTAGTTGTTAGAAAAATATGGATTATAATAGGAAGTTCACTCTTTCTGATTTAGGTAAAGTATTGCATCTGATGATTTTAAGATTAGTGGTGAACTGAAAGTGATGAATTGTATAGGTTAGAGTTATGATGATTATTTGTAGGTTCACAGAGTACATAAGTACAGTCGTCTTTATATTAGATTTAATTATAATATATCATGTGAGCTTATCAGAGGTCATGTCAAAAGATTGTGATTGATTGGAGGATATGTATCTTCAGAGGTTTTGATCAATGAAAAAGTTCTAACAAAAGAATTACTTCGAAATTTCGACAGACAGAGAGTTGACTATAAAGACACGACTTGCAGAAGACATCCACCAAGTGTATTTAAGGAATTCCATATTAGAAGTATTCTAGTACCAAACAAAATGTAAAAGGTTGAGTAACAAACGATGTTGTCATTTGGTAAAAAATGCCAATAATGTCATCCGAGTAAGATTAAATAGGTCATCAAATCGAAGCCCAATTGGTGGTGAATGCCTTGGAAGGAAACTCCCCGGCAAGCATCTCTACTCTCATCCCAAGTTTCATGTCAGGTTAACTTTTAAAAGGATACTTTGGTCATTCACATTAAAAAAATAAAGAGAAAAAAGAAAGTTGTTTTCGAAGTTGGGTTTATCTCATGGACTGAGAACAATAAGACGAACAATAATGTGAAACCAAAGAAAAATAAAATAAAAGATTTAGCAATGATTTCTCTGTACTCTTGCTCAATAATAATTACTATAATTATTTTTCAAAAATATATTTGTTGAACTGTTGATCAAAGATCACACCAATTTTCAATCTCACAAGTTCCAAATTCCAAGTATTATTCTACAGTCTTTCGATTCTTGGATAAGTGCAGTACACATGAGAAAGAAGAATGAATTTCCTTTACTTTCAATTTTCTCAATAAAACTCTGTTCAAAGCAGCCAACAACTGAGAAATAAATAATCTCAGCAAGAAGAAAATTATTCCAATTTCTTTGATCAAACACTCTTAAGCATACATTCTTCATTTCGGTTTTACAAGTTTCCTTTTGCTGATCATGATACTCAAAGAACCCATCCTTTTGTTCTTAGCAATCTTTATATCTTCGTTAATCGTGGTTCAATCAACCAAGTGTGACCGATCATGTGGTGACAAGCTTGTTCCTTATCCATTTGGATTCTCTAGCGGCTGCCGGATCCCTCTAAGCTGCAGCTCAAATAATCATCAGCAGCTTAATCTTGCAGGTTTCCCGATCCTAAACATAAGCAACGATCGCATAAAAATCAGCATTGAAGCCACTTGCAATCGTTCACTCCGAGCACTTCTCCGTCTCTACGGCCCCAACTACGCCCCGACGTCTCGAAACGCAATTCTACTGCAAAACTGCAGCGTGCCAGCGCCATGCATGATACCCTCGACGATGGTTTACACTCATTTCGAGGCCCTTGCTTGCTCTCCTAATGGTGCCAGTAATATAAGTTGCTACTCGGAGAATAAATCTAATGGTTTCGTTGATTACAGCAAGGTGATCAAAACTCACTGTAAGTCCTTTTTATCGTCCATATCAACAGAATATTTCAACGAATCAGGAGTCCTGGAGGTTCAGGTGGTTGAGCTAAGGTGGTGGATTGAAGGACGGTGCTCTGAGTTTTGTTCTGAAAATGCAATTTGTGATGAAGTTATTTCGCCGTTTAATCGACTGCCAGGATTCTATTGTAGATGCCGAAACGGGTTCATTGGCGATGGCTTCCGTGCTGGCGATGGATGCCGGAAAGGTCAGTTCTGGTTCACTAAATATCTTGAGAAATTTTAATTAAGAACATATCTTTTCTCATACCAACAAAAGGCATGTAAGTGAATTTCAGGCCACAGAATTTTTAGCAGATATGTTCAATTTGATGTGTTGGAAGAATAAACGAACTGAATTCCCGTACATGTAGAACAGAAGATTAATGGATTTGCGGTAATAGTAATTAAGTTAGAATCTAAGCATATAATTGCAGAGCTGCTTTGGTTTACCTTAAAACATAATCTTACAATTTGTTTTTTTATGTGTTTGTTGACATGTAAAACTAAACAGCATCTTCAGATTGCAACCCCGCGAGATACATTTCTGGCAAATGCAGAGGAACGACTCGAGTCTTTATTTTCGTTGGAGGTAATCATAATTTAATGTAGAACATAGTTAATGATGGTGGCTTAAAACCAGTGAAGATGAGTTTATTATATATGTATGCTGCACTAAATTTGGTGTTGTTTTTTCTCAGGCATTGCAGCTGGAACTTGTTTAATGATCTGTGCAGTTCTAATTTGCTGCTTCGTGCGGAGGCAATTGAACTCGAAAACGATACAGAGCACGAAAAGTCTCCTATCTGAAGCTTTAAACATCAAGATTCCCATCTACGCATACAAAGAAATAGAGAAAGCTACACATGGTTTCTCAGAGAAACAAAGGCTTGGAACTGGGGCGTTTGGAACAGTCTATGCAGGCAAACTTCATAACAATTCATGGGTTGCTATTAAAAGGATCAAGCATAGAGACACTGATTGCATTGAGCAAGTGGTGAATGAGATCAAGCTAATTTCATCCGTCAGCCACCCGAACCTGGTGCGCCTGTTGGGTTGCTCCATGGAAAATGGTGAACAAATACTTGTGTATGAGTTCATGCCCAATGGAACATTATGCCAGCATTTACAACGAGAGAGAGGCGATGGACTTGCGTGGCCAGTTCGACTTACCATTGCTGCTGAAACCGCACAAGCCATCGCTCATCTCCACTCTGCTATAAATCCTCCTATATATCATAGAGACATCAAGTCCAGCAACATTCTCTTAGATTACAATTTCAGGTCCAAAGTAGCAGATTTCGGTCTTTCTAGACTCGGAAAAACCGAAATATCCCACATCTCAACAGCTCCACAAGGAACACCGGGATACCTTGACCCTCAATACCATCAAAACTTCCATCTTTCAGACAAAAGTGACGTTTATAGCTTTGGGGTAGTCCTCATGGAGATGATAACAGCACTAAAAGTGGTGGACTTCACTAGGCTCCCAAACGAAGCAAATTTGGCAGCTGTTGCTACTGATAGAATCAGCAAGGGAAGTTTAGATGAGATCATAGACCCAATTTTAGACCCTAAAAGTGATTCTTGGACGTTATGTTCAATCCATAAGGTGGCAGAGCTGGCTTTTAGGTGCTTATCATTTCATAGAGACATGAGACCTACAATGATGGAAGTGGCCATTGAATTGGAACAAATAAGGCTAAGTAGATGGGTACCTGGAGAAGAACTTACACATGAAGCTTCAGCAGAGGTGTCTCCTTGCTTCTCGTCGTCAAACCTAAGAGAGCAACCACTAAGCAAGGCAGTTAGTAAGAAGGGTGGAGTTGAAAACAGAGGCTTGTTTATGCTTCAGATGAGCAATGTTGGTTTCATGAACTTGATGGAAAAAACGAAGGATAATTCACCAGTATCAGTCCAAGATCCTTGGTTGAGCGAACAAAGCTCACCTTCTTCAAGCAGTTTGCTGAATAATGTAACTCATTAACTAGAAACTCCAATCTTTCCTCTGATTTCAACTTCATCTTCAAGCGTTTACCGCAGTTTTGTCCCTCTGCATAGTTTGTAAGAGTTTTTTAATCCTCCCTAGTGTAAATTAACACAATTTTAATATTACCAAAATGTACTTATCACAAGCAAAACCATATTGTAATTGATATACTATACTAATCTCATTAATTTTATCGAGATGAATTACTATGCTTCATTTAGGCGAATTTAGATAATTATTAAAACCTATTCATTTTGGAGTTAAATTATTGCGCAACATAATAAGCATTTACCCAATATATATTTTTTATTTTTACGGTAGAAATGTAATATCGGTATTTGAACTCATATAAAAATTCGATCAATTAATAGATCTCATAATGTATCGATTAATAGTAACAAGACTTATCAAATATACTTTTAAGTCATTACTAATTAAAAGAATCAAACGTGATGTTTATCCATATGTATTTAACCATTTTAAAACTCAACTAATTACTTGTAAATTTTGTGTAGTATAACAATTACTCATATGGCAATTTTCCTACAACATTAAAATTTAATATCCGAATGCATCAATAAGCAAGGATATTACCATTTCCATGACTTTTGCACAGTTCTTAAAACACATTTTTTGACATGGTTTAGCACCCTTTGGGACATCTTTATTTCCAATTATTCAACGACAACTAACAAGATAGTCTAAAGTGATTACAAGCAGTGACAGAACTTAACAATATTATTTTGGGATCATTTTATTATTATTTTTCAATATAAATTATATATAAAAATATCATACTAATAAAAGTAAATTTTATAAATTTTAAAATTCATTTATTTACATAAAAAATTAAAGAAACACAATACATCGGTAAAAATGCTATCTAGAATTGTGTCTAAGGGTCTGTTTGTTTCCCGTAATTGGAATTACGGAATTGGTTTTCCCCGAATTCCCGTGTTTGTTTTACGTAATTCGTTTTCCGGAAAATGTTTTCCCGTGTTTGTTTCACGTAATTCGTTTTCCGGAAAACGTTTTCCCGTGTTTGTTTCACGTAATTCGTTTTCCGGAATGTAATTCATTTTCCTAGTAACAGAATTTCCTTTGTGTTTTCTGTAAAATGACTTACGGATTCATTTTCCGTAAGTCATTTTCCGAACTTTTCACTTCAAAGCAAAAATACTCAAAATAATTTTATTTTATGAATTTAATATTAATAAAATATTTTAATATCATTTTCATCAAAATATTAATTATTAAAATATTTAAAATATATTTATTAATATTTATAATAATATTATTATATTTTTAATATATATAAAATAATCAATTATATTATAATATATAAGATATATATTTTTATTTTAATAATATAAATAAAATTTTTTATATATTTAATAATGAATAATATTATTTATATATTTCAATATATTTAGTAAAGATATTAAAATATACTAATTAATATTTTTAAAATATAATATAGTACTATTACTTAATAAATATTAATATAATTTATAAAATTTTATTTCACTAAAATATACCGAAAAATGTTTAAATAACGTCTTCCAAACATCATAAAACGTTTCCAGATGTTTTCCAGAAATGTAATTCATTTTCTAGAAATGTAATTCATTTTACAGAAATGTAATTCATTTTCCAGAATTCAAATTCCAGTAATTCATTTTCCAGTAATTCAAATTTCAGTAATTCAAATTCCAGTAATTCATTTTCTGGAAAACCAATTACAGCTAAACAAACAGACCCTAAGTTTTTTATTTTTAAAGATTCATGAATTCACATCATAAATATATATATGAAAAAAATCATAAATATAAATTGAATTGAAAAATATTTAAAAAATTATCTTTAGCTGAAATGAAATTAAAAATTGAATACTTGATAACTTGATTAAAGTCATCAACTTAAAGAAGATGATCAAAAATAATTGCATCTTGAAATCAGAAATGACAAATGAAATTAAATTTTCATTCATTTAAAAATAAAAAAAATAATAAAAAAATGGATGGTTAACTCTTGCTAATAAATAATATTTAAGTGATTTTCAAATTTAAAAGGACAACTAAATTTAATAATTTATTATACATATTTTTTAGGGGTCAAACTTAATAAGTTAATATACTCCCTCCGTCCCATAATTTGTATCTCATATTAACTATGCACATAGTTTATGGAGATATATTTGACCGATGGAAATGATAAAATTATCTCTAAAAAGTTATTGATAGATTTATTTTGATAGTTTTAAGAGATATATTTTACAATTGTTTTGATTTGATCTCTGCATATTGTTTAACTTATTTAAATTTCAATTTGCAATTCCATGTTTGTTCAATTTAATCATTAAAATTATATTTTTTATCCAAAATTGTCTATACTTATTTATGTTTTTGTAATTTACTCCAAATCCTATAAATCACATATTAAACTTCATTTTAAACTCTATAAATTATATCGTAACCTTCAAACCCTATAAACTTTTGTTCACCAACTTTTTAAATGGATGAAATTATGTCAATTTTTATATTAATTTCATCTTCACATTTTACAATTGTTTCGATTTGTTCTCTCAGCTATGTGTGTTGTTTAATTTATTTGAATTTGAATTTTTAATTTCATGTTTGTTCAATTTAGTCCTTAAAATTATATTTTTATCAAAATTTATTTATATTTTTTCTATTTTTTGTAATTTACTCCAAATCCTTTACAATTAAAAAAATAAATTCAACGTTCATGAAAGGTAGAAAATAATTAACTAAAAATGACTCGACCTGAAGTTCATCCGTACCTGATAAGATCTAACTTGAATTTTATCTGTTAATGATGTGACTCAATCTGAATGGGATTCGACTTGAAATCCATTTGAACATGAATTAACCTGATATTTAACTAATTCGGACCCGAACCGTTTTGACATGAATTGATATTGATATGAACTGAAATTAACTCTACCCGAACCCGAATTGAATTTGATTTCAAATCAACATTAAAATGACTCGAACTAATTTAACTCAGACTCAACCTAACCGAATTGAACAATTAAATTAACTTGACATAATTTATATCTAATTTAATTTGACATGATCTGACTAATACCTGAATGGTTAGCTGATCTAATATTCTAGTGAAAGATTGTTTGAGTAACATGTCGCGTACTGTTGTTTACCGGTGAGACCTATTATTTTCAAAATCTTCTTAGCAAAAGGGTTAAATAGCTGACGAAATTATTTTAAAGTTCACTGTGAATAAATAAAATGTATAATATAACAAATACTCTTAATATTTATTTAAATAATTAATGTAGTTATTTTTAAAAAGTAATTCTTGTAGTTTTTATTCTTTATTTTTTAGAACACATTGACTTTTAATATAAAATATCTCATAATTAAATAGAAATCATTAGTTAACTGACGATCAACATATATTGCTTACGTGACAAGTCCTATATGATTAAATTGAGGTTGTGACATATATAATGTGTCCAAAATGATAATATGACACATGACACATATACAAATTAAGTGATGATTTGAACATGTAATGTCTATAAAGGTGATAACGTAGAACATGTCACATCTTTATGTTGGATAAATAGGATTTATCACATCAACGACAAGCGTTGATAGTTAGTAAACTAACGTTTTCATTCAACCAGTGGACATTTTATTCCAAATTAAAATGTTATTATCAAAATATTAAAAAAAATAAGAACCAAAATAATTATTTTATCAAATATTAGAAGTGGATTTTGATGTTTTACCTTAAATAAAAGAAAAAATTTAAACTTCATATAAAAATTGGGACATCATTCAAGGACCAATTTATACATAGAATCTATATTTTAAAAACTTTGCAAAGAAGGTCGGATGTATATCTTCGTGCCCACCTTTGCAATTCGGATGCTAAGAAAAGCATGGACGTATACGTAATTAGAATTGGTAAATTTTACTCGTATCGGATTATTCGAACTGATTAATTTGAATTGAGATCCGATGTCGACCAAAATAGGATAATCCAAAATTGATCCGAATCCTGAAACGACCCGAATTGAACCGAAACCGACTTGAAATTTAGTTGGACTGAAAGTAACCCGAATCAAAAGCAATTTGAACCCAAAAAATTAGAACCAAAAGTAACCTGAATTTAGTTTACTCTTATTCGATTTGAACCGAACTTCGACCCAATTTTAATCCGATAATTAAGTCTAAGTGAATGAACAATTTATTATTGTCGCAACTGTCTTTCGGTTGGGCCCCAGAATTGGGCTTCGACTTGGATTAAACGAATTGGGTTAGGAGTCGTCACTGATCATTTAAAAAATATTTAGGTAGATCGGACATCATCTTACCTGATCTGCGTTTTACCAGATGTGTGTCGGGTTCGGGAGTCGGTTACGGTCAAGGAAAGATTAGCACCCTTGAACCGCCCTTTCGGTACCAATTAATTTACCGGTTGTCTTTAATTGCGAAAATTAAGAATTTAAATTAAAATTTAAGAATTCGATTCAACTACTTACCTTTAATCGATTAAAGTATCCCTAAAATAAAAAATAGTATCAGTTTGTAAAATAAAAATAAATATGAGAAAAAAGAAAAAAATATTAATAATATTAAAATAATAAAATAAAAAAAATGAAAAAATGAAAACCACATACACGTGGTTAACAAAAGCAAAACCACATACACGTGGTTACAAAGCAAATGAATATGGGTCCCTCCCTGCAAAGCAATCAATTGAGATACAATGGCACATTTGTTTGCAATATAGCGTGTCCTTCTACCTTTGTTTTTAGCAGATGTTCGACCAATGAAAAATGAATGGAAAACAAGAACATACTCTCGTGTTGACTCCTGCTTCATCTCCTTCTTCTGCCTTTTTATTTTCTTCCTCGTCGGATTCGGGGCTACGCAGCATAGGCTTGCCAGAGCTGAGACAATCAAAATCACCCTCCTTCTCTCCATCTCTGTTATTTCTCCCTTTATCCTCTCTCTTCTGCTTCGACTCACCGGCGAC